TAATCCAACTCTCTGCTTGACATTTCCATCTGGATATGTCAAAGTCCCCTCAAATTCAACAAATCTGGAAACCAAATCATCTTGCTTCACTTGCTGTCCACCAGCCCCAAGCCTGGTCCTCCCAGCTCAGCGTCAATTCAATCCATTCCATCTAATCCTGAAGACCAGAAACTCCACAGCCGTCCTTGACACCCTCGTCACACCCTGTTCCTGATATCTAACACATCATCAAGTCCTGTTGATTTTAACCCCTAAATACCTCTAGACCCTAAGGACTTTTTCCACTTCCACTGCCTCCACCCTTGGCTGCCACCACCTCTCATGAGGATGACAGCAACAGCCGTTCAACGTGGCCATCTCCATCCAGATGTCCTTACTCCAACCCATTCTGCAGAGAAGCAGTTTTCACAATGCAAATCCAAGCACGTCCACCTTCTGATTTCAGTACTTCAGTCACTTCTAGTTGCTCTTAGGATAAGGACAAACTGCTCCACACAGCGTTAGAAGTCCCAGAGGTCTAGCCCCTAAATATTTATCCTAAATAGCCCCTAAATATTTCAGGGTGAATATCCACTCACCCTGGCCCCACCGGCCCCGGCGCCCCCATCCAGTCAGCTTCCTTTACTCCCTGGAATGCGCTTTGCTTTCCTCGACAAGGCACCTCGGCGCCACCTGCTCCCTCTGACAGAATGTAGCTCCCTTTTCTCCCCAACTGGCTGAGACCTGTTCTTCCTTCAGAACCCAGCTCAGTGGTCACTGCCCTGGGGAATCCCTCCCTGACCACTGCAGCTGGACCAAATCCCCCATTCTTCCGTGGACCAGCGTTAAGTGCTGGTTGTTTGCGTTGTTGTTTAATTAGGCGATTAATGTGTTCCCTCTCCCTCCTCCCCAGTCCATCTCTAACTACATGAACAGAAGCTGTGTCTTCATCTCCCGTGGTGTATGTCGCTAGCTGTGGGCCTAGCACCTACAGGCACAATACTGGGGCTTAATACTTACTTATCTTTAAAGAAGTCATAAGATAAATTCAAAATTGAGAGGTCCAGAGATGTACGAAGTCCTTATGAGGACAGGCGAACTCTCAGGCAGGAGAATACCTTAACACACCTGAACAGCCCCTGTCCTTAGAGAGGGGGTGAGAAGGGGCAGGCTCTACAGCGCCAGAGTCATGGTGGCAGATGCTACTTCTCCTCACTTGTAAAGGGGAGAGAAGAGAAACCCCCGCTTCGTGAGACGGCTGCGTGGAATAATTGGTCCACACTCACTAGGGGCTTAGCCTGGAGCCTGAGTGTGGTCAGTGTTCTGTACATGTCTGCTTAGTTATTATTACCTTTTTAAACAAAACCACCCAATGAGATAATTACAATAAGCATTGCTTATAGATGAGGAATCCGATGCAGTATGATTAAATGATGTGCCCGAAACTACCCATAGATAAATGGCAGCATCAGCAGGAAACCATGCCGTCTGACTCTCTGTCCAGTGCTCTCTCTGCTTTCATCACTGCCTGGTGTGGCCTCTAATTGTTGATGTGGGTTCTAAGACACCTCCCCAGAATGACAAACAGCCTCCACCCTCGGTCCGGCCAGGACTCGCCTCCTCCCCATTCCTGTAAAGCCGTGCTGCTTGCTCACAGCAGGTGTTCACTGGGAGGCAGGGAGGGAGGGAATGAACCAACGAGCATTTCAGGTGAAACTGAGATACAAAAACATCCACCCGGAGACTTCCCCTTCATGTCCCCACCCTGATCCAGTGGCTGTTCCTATTTGGGAACGTGGACTACTGTGATCAGATTGTCTGATTCCAAGCCAGAAATCCAAAATTTTATATGATAGCCCCAGAAATTTAAATGTTGGAACTAATTTTTTAAAATTTTAGATACTTTAAAATGTTTGTACTCGCCAGGCAGAGTGGCTCACGCCTGTAATCCCAGCACTTTGGGAGGCCAAAGCAGGCAGACCATTTGAGGCCAGGAGTTCAAGACTAGCCTAGCCAAATGGTGAAACCCTGTCTCTACTAAAAATACAAAACTTAGCCAGGGGTGGTGTCTTACTCCTGTAATCCCAGCTACTCAGGAAGTTGAACCAGAAGGATCACTTGAACCCAGGAGGCGGAGGCTGCAGTGAGCCAAGATAGCGCCACTGCACTCCAGCCTGGGTGACAAGAGGGCTACTCTGTTTCCAATAAAAAATAATAAATAAAAATAATAAAATGTGTGTACAAAACAAACATCTTTGAATGGAACCCTATTTCAAGAATTGCCTACTTAACTAACCAGACTTCATTCCAACAGGTATCCCTTTTGATTTGTGAGATTCAAATAAAAACACCTAATTAATAATTAATAAATATGCTACAATTCCCTTTTGTTGCTTTCTATAATGTCCTATCTTCGTATTCCCCTACTCATTTCACCATTTTGCTCTCCAAGTCTCTACCAGAAAAAAAGATTCAGAAAGTGAAATATCGAAGCCCCAGGCCATCATGTGGAAGCTGTCACCTAACTAGACACAGAAGGAAGGTCGTGTTTGCTGCAAAGAAACAGCATCTCCATAGTATACTTTAATCAGCTACAAATGTCTGTATTTTCAAAGCATAATCATTCTTGCCCTGAGGAAATGGAAAAGTATCAAAATCTTGGAATCAGTGCCATCCTGCCTGGACTTTTTGCCTCTCAAATGAACGTCAGTAAGAGTGCCTGATGGTACCTGTAATGTTGACAAACTGGAAAGACAAAAGAAAAAAATCCTAGGCTAATTTCAAGCACCAGTGGAAAATATTTTTTGAAGTGAAAGAGGAATATATTTAATAAGATGCTAAGAGGCTGTTACACACAGAGGGAAAAAGATTTACTTTAAATAAGCTATGTATGTGACACCATGAAAGACCACTGAAACTCAGGAAACAATGTAATGATTTCATTGGAGAGCCATTTAAGTGCCTCTGTTGAGTTGAATCTTTGACTTCAGTTTCAGAACAAAGCCAAAATTATCTGACACTTCTTGTTCTTGAGTGAACTTCCCACAGCACTGCCCTGTGATTGGCTGGTGAGTACCAGGAACCAGGTTCCCACCAGGCTCAGCTCCAAAAGCTTCCTCACTCAGTACATAAGGGAGAAATGTCAGGAGGGGCTAAAGTCAGAAAGGAGTTCAGAAAATCCAACGACATAAAATGCTAAGACGGTGAAATGCCTGGGGAAGTCTATGCAGCCAGCCCAGGTCTACCAGGAGATGGAGTACAATTATAGCTGCAAGATCTAAATGGGTCTTGGTCCCAGCTGCAATTTGGTGTCATCTAAAGGCCATTGTCCTTTGGGGATTAAACATTAATAAGAACAGTTTTTGTTCCTGTGGCTGGCTGAGACTTTCAGGATCTCCCCATTTTAACTGCCCGATCTATAGAAAAGGAGTCACAAAAACGCTGGGGACATCGGGACTCAACACCATCTCTCCACTTCTTAGTGATACAGTGATCTGCTGCCTTCTCTTTAATGCAAAAATTGCACCTGACAAAGTTAAACAGACAAGGAAGACTTTATTCAAGGCGATTGCAGTATGGGAGAGAGGCCAGAGATGAGTCCAAACTGAACTCTGCTGAAACAAACGGCAGGGAAGTTTTTAAGAGTTGGGCAAGGAGGGACTGGCACAGTGGCTCATGCCTGTAATCCCAGCATTTTGGGAGGCCAAGGCAGGCAGATAACTTGAGGACAGGAGATCAAAACCAGCCTGGCCAACATGGCAAAATTCCATCTCTACTAAAAATACAAAAATTAGCCAGGCATGGTAGCGGGTGCCTATAATCCCAGCTACTCAGGAGGCTGAGGCAGGAGAATCATTTGAGCCCAGGAGGCAGAGGTTGCAGTGAGCTGAGATCATGCCATTGCACTCCAGCCTGGGCAACAGACCGAGACTCTGTCTCAAAAAAAAAAAAAAAAGAAAATCTGCCAGGTGCAGGTGTAGTGGTGCATGCCTGTAGTCCCAGCTACTCAGGAGGCTGAGACAGGAGAATCACTTGAACGTGGGAGGCAGATGTTGCAGTGAACCAAGATTGCACCACTGTACTCCAGCCTGGGTGACAGAGATTCTGTCTCAAAAAAAGTAATGGTAATAAAGAGTTGGACAAGGGAAAGACCTGGGCCATCTGCGTTTGCTAATCACCTTTACTGTAAGGGAAAGGAAACTCTCATCTCCTCATGACAGTTGGTAGTTTACAACTTGGAGCAAGGTACCTACAGAAGTGAGACTCTTACCCTCCCAGGGAAACCAAAGATAGGAATGCTATCTTCTCCAACGATCATATGTCAAAGGGATGGCACCTGGGTCCTGGAGAAAAGCATTCCTGGGTTTTAAAACTGACAAGAGGCTCAAAGGGGCAGACAGAGAATTTACAAGTTTTCTAAAGTAAATGCTGTAAGAAAGGGAAGTCAGGGACCAAGAGTCAAGGAGAAGCCTGCTTGAAGCTCAGTCCTGCCAAAGAGGCATTGGTCACCTTAGTCCCCTCCACTCTCCCAAACTCCAGTCCACCTCTTGGGAGAACGGCCTGAGCAACAGCTAGTCACATTACACCCAATGTGTGCCATCATGAGGGACACCACCACAGGGCACGGCTTTATTTGTTTCTCTAGTATTTGTCAGCAGAGCTGATTTAATGAGAAAGGATTTGGAAATGAGCGAATAATTCTTCCTGAGGTGTCTTTTCTCACGAACTTTTTCTCTGAGGTCTGGCACAGTTTTAGGCTGGGTAGAGTGAGACTGTCACCCTCCGTGATAACGCCTCAGACACATACCCAAGAAGATGTGAATCTTTCCTTCTAGGACACACTCCACTGCAATTTCTGCGGCTATAATATGCTTTATTCTTCTCTCAGTTTAAGCAACTGTGATGAGTTTTTAATCACTTTCCCGTGAATATTTATCTGTACCTTTGCTTATCATATGCCCCCTGGCCAATGCCTAAGATGTTCCTCCCCTGTTTGCTTTAACTCATCTTCCAAGACCTACCTCCGGTTCCACCATACTCCAGCAGACTCCCATGGCCTTATCTACTCATAATTGGTTCCAGTCTCTCTTCCAAAATGGGCTCATTCTCCACCCTTCCACCTCCCATGACTGGTGATCTGCAGGTAAAAGGAAGGAGACAAGAAGGGAGCCTATGAAAACATCGAGCAGAAAGTAGAGATGAGGTCACATGAGTAGCCAGTGGTCATGACAAAGCCAGCACTGAAGTCCTATGTTGGATTGCACAAGTCCTACACACCCCAGCTCAGGACACAGCAACCTGGGGATCAGGTGTGCCTCTCCACAGAGTCAAGCTCACCAGTGCTGGTCCAGCCCCAGATTTTGCTTTTCCTATTTTGTGGCTGGGCACTCAAGCTTTGCTCCTTGCAGCAGGAATGAAGGTGGGTCATCAGGGTACCAGGACAACTCGCCAGAGGCAGATTCAGAGAGCCCTGAGACCAAGTCAGAGGGACCAAAATGCTCAGGGAACAGTCTCCACTTCCCATGGTCCCAGAGCATGAGCTCCCCTAGGCCAGTTGCACAGCATGCCTAGGGAGAGGGTCAAAGTGGGAGCAACCCAAGGGGTGTGTGTGCACATGTGTGCCCTCGGGTATGGGTGTGTGCATGTCATCATGCATGGGTGCATGCGTATGAGTGTGTCAATGTGCGGGGTTGTCCTGAGTATGTGTGTGCATGCCATATGTATGCAAAGGTGGGTGCATGTGTGCATATGGGAGGTGTGTGCACACATGTAGAAGTGCTAGGGTGTGGGTGTTTGTGTGTACACACGTGGAGACAGGAATAGGCATGCATGTTCGTGGCCAGAAAGGAAGAAGAGGTAGACATTTAGGAGCACTTATTTTGGCCAGGAAACAATTGTCTGAAAGGAATTTGGCCAGAAGAAAATTGGCCAACATGATCATTTTTTTCAAAAATCAATATTCCCAGTCTCAGGTTTTCCAAGTTTCTTTGCCTTCATTCCTCCAAAAGTGAAGCTCAAGACAAAACCTACATACAGTTTATTTGGGATGTGACCTTGGGAGTGTAGGAGTGGAGATTCAAGAAGAAAGGCCAAAACTAGGACTGTTGAGAATTAACCCGAGCTGTGACTGCCTGATGCTCCATCCTGCTGGAGGCTTCCGAGGAGTAGCTCAGGATATGCCACAGAGTTGCCCACCTGAGAAGTGAAAGGGAGAAGTACTTATCCATAAACTCCACTTACCATGGCCCCGGGGCATGAGCTCCCCTAGGCCAGTTGCACAGATATGAGTGCTTTCAGCACCACAATGTTGGGGGAAGGTCCCCAGGCAGGAAGCCAGGGCCATAGTTGACACCTCAGGTGAGGTATTGTCAGAATAAAGCAGGAAAACCTGTTTGCCACCACCAGGGTTGGACTCAGAGGCCAGGCCTGGGGATGGGAGGTGGTGCCCCAAGGTACCTGATAGAGCAGATGGTAAATCTTGCAACCCTTTACATGGAAAGGCATAGATATGTCGATGAAGAGTCAAACTCTGTCAAATATTTGAAGAGATTTATTCTGAGCCAAATATGGGTGACCAATGGCCCATGACACAGCCCACAGGAGACTGTGAGAACATGTGCCCAAGACAGTTGGGGCATAGCTTGGTTTTCTATATTTCAGGGAGACATGACACATCAATCAATACATGTAAGATGTACATCGGTTTGGTCTCAAAAGGCGGGACAACTGGAAGCCGGGCTTCCAGGTCACAGGCAGAATCAAAGATTATCTGACAATTGGTTGAAAGAGTTATTATCTAAAGACCTGGAATCAATAGAAAGGAATGTGTGGGTTATGACAAGGGGTTGTGGAGACCAGGGTTTGATCATGCAGATGAAGCCTCCAGGTAGCAGGCTTCAGAGAATAGATGGTAAATGTTTCTTATCAGACTTAAAGAGTCGATGAGTCTTAAGGTCTGTGTTGATGTTAATGCTGGTCAGCTGGGCCTCAATTTCAAAAGGGAGGAGAGTATAATGAAGCAGGCCTGATTCTCCCTTCCCATCATGGCCTGAATTAGTTTTATCAGGTTAACTTTGGAATCCCCCTGACCAAGAAGAGCCCATTCAGATGGTTGGGGGTGCTTAGGATTTTATTAGTTCCTGCCGGTAACACTCTATGTACACACAGCCCAAGTGACTCCCATAGAAGCAGGACAGAGAGGACCATTATCTAAAAAGTAACACACCCACCAAATGATTTTCCTACTGCCTTCTGCACAGCAGGGCCTAGGTTGCCTCCCCTCCTCCCAAAGGCGCTTCTGTGGTTGAAATGAAATAGAAGCAATTAAACAATAAATATGAATTACTGACTCTTCAGGAGCTCCAGGGGTATACAGCAAAGCAAATGGGACCCTGGCCAGATGAGGGGAACACCAGGAGATAGTGCAACGAAGCTGAACAGGGCATAGGATGGAGAAGAGGTGTACTTGCCCAGTGCTGAGTCTTGCTAGTGCACCGTGGTGGTTTGGTCCATTTTCCACCCTCCAGAGGGAGGACCTTGGTGGGGCAGGCTCCAAGAGCCTCACTACCTCATCTGTGTAAACAGGTAGGCTGTAGGTAGGCGATGTGGTAGGGAAATAGAAATTAAATTTGCCTAGAAGATGGCATAGTGTGGGGTAGAAGGACACAACATACATACATACAAAGACACAACATACATAATACATACACACACAGATACAAATATTTTGCCTCAGAAACTGTATTAAGCATGAGAACACTGTTAACACTGTCCATAAAAGAGATCAGGATGCTTTCCAAGTCACGCTAACAATGGCCTCTTAGTGCATGATTGGAGAAGAAGAAATTATTACAAGCACTTTTTTCTGTTAATTCTTCTACATAATATAATTGATAACACATCAAGCTTTTCCTTTAAAACATTCATCTTATCCATGTGCTTAATAGTAAGATATTCTCAGCCTGCTCAACTTCGGCTCGCAGCAAAGCAATTATTTATTTTAACATTTGCATTTAAACCAAATGATATTAAAATTCATCAAAGCAAGATCACTAATATCACAAAACTGAGGGCAATGCTATCTCAGCCCAGCTCTTTGAAGCAATCTGTCCTCCAAATAATAGGACAGTCTATGATCAACACAAATTATAGCTGACTTTATTGTATGTTTCCATTTAGATATGATTGTAACACCATTAATGAAAAAAATATTCAGCAGCTGGCTTTCTATCAACAATAAAGTCAACCTCAAGCAATTGTGAACCAAGAAAATTCCCTTTGCTATAAGGACACTGTCCATTTTATTAGATCAAATGGTTTTTGGAACTCTAAATAAGGCGGCAATGTTCAATTTTGACAACATTGCTCACAAAATGCAGTGTGCATGAGGCTTGTAGCACCAGATAGCTTCGGTTGCAAAAGGTCCTCCTTTTCTTTCAGCAAAGCAACTGCTTCTCAAAGCAGCCAGAGCCCAAGAGCTCTTTATATTCAAGGGAACACTCCCTGGGTGAACTTTAATTAGTGGTGAAATATAATCCCAGATAAGTCAAAGAGGATGACAATTTATTCTTGTAGGGCTTGAATCAATACCCCTGGAGCTCCCGAAGAGCCAGTAATTCGTATTTATTGTTTAATTGCTTCTATTTCATTTCAACCACAGAAGTGCCTTTGGGAGGAGGGGAGGCAACCTTAGCCCCTGCTGTGCAGAAGGCAGTAGGAAAGTCATTTGGTGGGGGTGCCACTTTGTCAGATAATGGTTCTCTCTGTCCTGCTTCTACGGGAGTCACTTGGGCTGTGTGTGCATAAAGTGTTACCAGCAGGAACTCATTATTGTCTTTAAACTACACACTGGCTTCAGCAGCTTTTGTTTTTCCTCCAGCACACTAGAATAGACTAGGGAGAACAAGATAAAGGTACTTCATTAAGACCACTAATGTTGTTTTTACGTGCTGGGTCACTGTTACAAAACCCGAAATGAAGATATGCACTTGGGCGTAACAAGCCCCGAGGTCAGCCTCACACTGAGCTCATGCAATCCAGGAGGCTCCAGGCTGTTTGAGTTCTTGCTTCCTGGAAGGGCCCTGATGACCTATTTCCACATAAACTCATAGACCTGCAAGACAGCTTGGCAATCATCAGACCTTCTCAGTGTAGAAATGGAGAAGCCACTCAGATCTATGATGGCAGGACACAACTACTAGAAGCCAGATGTTCTGAATTCCCATGCTGGGCTCTTTTTCCTAGGGCCAGGGTTGGAAAATTAAGCTCTCATTTCTCAGACTCTACTTACTTGGAATGGGCATCCACAGAGGTTAAGGTCTTGATATGATCTGGTTCTGTGTCCCCACTAAATCTCATGTCAAATTGTATCCCCATTGTTGGAGTTGGGGCCTGGTGAAAGGTGATTGGATCATGGGGGTGGTCCTTCATGAACTGTTTAGGACTATCCCCTTGGTGCTGTTCTCATGATAGTGAGTGGGTACTTATTAACGAGATCTGGCTGTTTAAAAATGTATCACACCTCCCCCTACTCTCCTGCCACGTAAGACGTGCCTACTTCCCCTTCACTTTCTGCCATGACTGTAAGTTTCCTGTGGCCTCTCCAGAAGCAGAAGTCACTATGCTTCCTGTACAACCTGCAGAACCGTGAGCCAATTAAAACTGTTTTATTTATAAATTACCCAGTCTCAGGTATTTCTTTATAATAGTGCAAGAACAGACTAATACATGTCTGGATGCAAAAAAAAACAAAAAAACAAAAAAACAAAAATCAATTTTTAAATTAAATTTAAAACAGCTCTGAATTTCCTGTGAGGTGTAAGTATTATATAAGTAAATATAAAAGAAATGTTTGCTAAAATTAGAACTATCATACAGTCCAACAATCCCACCACTGGGTATTAATCCAAAGGAAAATCAGTAGATGGAAGGGATACCCATACTCACATGTTTATCATAGCACTAGTCTCAATAGCAAAGATGTGGAAGCCACCGATGTGTCCATCCACAGATGAATGGATAAAGAAAACGTGGTACTTATACACAATGGAATCCTGCTTGGCCATAAGAATGAAACCATGTCATTTGCAGCAACATGGATGGAACTGAAGGATATTAAGTGAAATAAGCCAAGCACAGAAAGACAAATATCACCTGTTCTCACTCATGGGAGCTAAAAGAAACTTGACCTTATGGACGTGTAACATAGAATGATGGATACCAAAGACTAGGAAGGTTGTGAGAGGTGATGGGGGAGGAAGAAAGGTTAGTAATGGGTATAAATGGACAGATAGAAGAAGTAAGTTTTAATGTTTGATAGCAGACTAGGGTGACTATACTCAGAAATAATATTATATGTATATTTCAAAGTAACTAGAAGAGAGGACTTAAAATGTTACCAACATTAAAATGATGAGCACTCAAGGTGATTGATATGGTTTGGATCCATGTCCCCACCCAAATCTCGTGTTGAAATATAATCTCCAATGTTGGAGGTAAGGCCTGGTGGGAGGTGTATTGGTCCATTTTCATGCTGCTGATAAAGACATACTCAAGACTGGGAAGAAAAAGAGGCTTAATGGACTTAGAGTTCCATGTGGCTGGGGATGCCTCACAATCATGGCAGAAGGCAAGGAGGAACAAGTCATGTCTTACATGGATGGTGGCCGGCAAAAAGAGAGAGAACTTGAGCAGGAAAACTCCCATTTTTAAAACCATCAGATCTCATGAGACTTATTCACTATCACGAGAACGGCATGGGAAAGACCTGCCCCCATGATTCCATTACCACCCACTGGGTTCTTCGCATGACACATGGGAATTGTGGGAGTTACAATTCAAGATGAGATTTGGGTGGGGACACAGCCAAACCATATCAGGAAGTGACTGAATCATGGGGGTGGATTTCTCATGGATGGCTTAGCACCATTCTCTTGCTGCTGTTCTTGTGATAGTGAGTAAATTATCATGAGATCTGGTTGTTTAAAAGTGTGTAGCACCTCGCTCTTCTCTCTCTCTCTCTCTCTCCCCTTCTCTATTTGTAGTGCTGCTCCCCGTTTGCCTTCTACCATGATTAGAAGTTTCCTGAGGTCTCCCCAAAACCCAGCAGATGCCAGCATCATGCATCCCATATAGCCTGCAAAACCATGAGTCAATTAAACCTTTTTTCTTTATAAATTATTCAGTCTCAGGTATTTCTTTATAGCAGTGTGAGAGCAGACTAATACAGTGATGTGTATCCCAAATATTTAACTTGATCATTATACATTCTATACATGTAATGAACACACATACTCCACAAATATGTAAAATAAAGGAGAAAAAACTAGGTTTGCTAATACTGTGAACAGATTACAGTTTACTGAATAGAACAATTTTTTAATACAGAGAAGGACTTGTTAACACACAATAAGCCAAAATCAAATATAATGAATGAATGACCCATTCATTCATTAAAACAGAACCTTGGAGTTTGCATGATGAATACACAACACATTCCTAATGTCACTAATGTTTTCTGTAAACATGAAGGTGACACAAGTGTTTGAATGAATGCTGTCACTCAGACTTGGCACAGATTCCTTCTGGCCTTGACCCCATTTGCCTGAGTAATGAGTCTCAGCTCTATTTATATATACCTTTACCTATAATCACCCTCCTTATAAAAGATGATGGCATGTTCCTCCAGGAACACATAGATTAGCGCAGACACGCACACACTTGGAAAAAGTTGAAAACATTAACAAGACCTGTAACTAATTCAAGAAAACAAAGTTATCACAAAGCTATATATGTGTGTGGATCAAAAGTGCAGGTAGGAGATTAAGTGCTTTAGTTTCAGAGGCAGCACCAGCCACTCAGGCCCACTATAAAAGGGGAAACCTTCACATAGGATGGAAGAATTTGAAGAAAATGGGAGAGCTTTCATAGCAGAAAAGAATGAAGCACCCCAAGTAAGGACACAGACAAAAAGATTAAAAGCCATATTTAGGCAAGATACAATGGTTTGGCTAGATCAGAATGTTCTCATAAGTAATAGAACTTATACAAAAAAAAAAAAAAAAAAAAACACCTTTGTGGTGCCTTTTAAAAAAAGGCATGAGGCAAGGTGCGATGACTCACGCCTGTAATCCATGGGGTGGATCATGAGATCAACAGATCAAGACCATCCTGGCCAACATAGTAAAACCCCATCTCTACTAAAAATGCAAAAATTAGCTGGGCATGGTGGCACACACCTGTAGTCCCAGCTACTCGGGAGGCTGAGGTGGGAGAATTGCTTCAACCTGGGAGGCAGAGGTTGCAGTGAGCCGAGATCGCACCATTGCACTCCAGCCTGGCAACAGAGCAAGACTCAAAATAAAAAAAAAAAAAAAAAGAACATGGTACATGAACACAGTGAAAATCAGAGTAAAATGGCAAGTCTACTCAATGACAGAGGAAGAAAAAAAATCATTTCACCAGAAAACTTAGACTTAGTAATTCTATTTAAATTGTGGTGACAATGACAGGACAATACATATGTCCAAACTCAAACTCACCACGTCATCTACATTAATTACATGCAGGTTTTTTGTGCACCCACTACTCAGTAAAGCTGGGGGTGGTGGGGAGAGAAGCACCTATAGGAATTCAGACTTATCAACATGAATTAGCAAGACACTAGCAACTTTATAAAAGGTTTATTTTTTAATTGACAAATTGAATATAATTATGATATACAACATCACGTTTTGATACATTATGGAATGGTTAAATAAAGCTATCTATCGTATGCATTACTATATTTTTTTTTCTTTTTTTTTTTTTTTGAGATGGAGTCTCGCTCTGTCACCCAGGCTGGACCGCAATGGCACAATCTCGGTTCACTGCAACTTCTGCCTTGCAAGTTCAAGCAATTCTCCCACCTCAGCCTCCTGAGTAGCTGGGATTACAGCCACGCCTGGCTAATATTTGTATTTTTAGCAGAGATGGGGTTTCACCATGTTGGCCAGGCTGGTCTTGAACTCCTGACCTCAAGTGATCTACCCACCTCAGCCTTCCACAGCTGCTGGGATTACAGGCGTGAGCCACCACACCCAGCCTCACATACTTATATTTTTTTTATGCGGTGAGAACATTTCAAAACCTACTCTCAGCAATGTCAAGTACACAATTCATCACTATTAATGAATAGCTGTCACCATGTTGAACAATCGATTTCCTGAACCTATTCCTCCTAACTCAAATTCTGTATTTTTACAAAAAGTTTAAAAATAAAAGTGCTTTAAATACCAAAGAAAAATAAAAATAAATTTAAAAATTAAAATGATGTAGATGTCTAATTGATATAAAATACGTTAGTAGTATATGAAAAAGCAATTTACAAACCATCATATATAGTATAAGCCATATATGCATTGAATATTACTAGGAAAAAAGTCAAGCCCATACATGGACGTATTTACATGGCTGGCCATCTGTATAGTGGTATGTCAGAAATTTTACTTTTTTTTAATTATTATTATTATTTGAGACAGGGTCTTACTCTGTTACCCAGGCTGGAGTGCAGTGGTGTGATCCCGTTCAGCTCACTGCAACCTCCACCTCTCAGGTTCAAGGGATTCTCCTACTTCAGCCTCCCCTGGGATTACAGGCGCGCACCATCACACCTAGCTAATGTTTGTTTGTTTGTTTGTTTGTTTGTTTGGTAAAGAAGGTGTTTTACCACGTTGACCAGGCTGGTCTCGAACTCCTGACCTCAGTAATCCACCGGCCTCGGCCTCCCAAAGTGCTGGGATTACAGGCGTGAGCCACCATGGCCGGCCTTTACTTTCTTTAAATAACCTTTGTGAATGTTCAGAAATTCCACACGAGAAGCAGCTATTTGTTCCCAAATCAGCTATTCAGCCAGATAGATAGATAGATAGATAGATAGATAGATAGATAGATAGATACACACACACGATGTATATATATACGTATATATGTGTGTGTGTGTATATATAAAATAAAGTTCCCGAATCATGCTCGCTGGCTCTCTCTCTATATATACACATATAAAAAATAAATATAATTTTGTTTTTAATTAAAATTAAATTGCAAAATTTAGCTCTGAGTTTCCTGGCAAGCTAAATGTCTCCCTTTACAGTTTTACTACAAGGACAGGAAACTGGGCGGGCGGTTGGGGCCTTGCTCAGCAGGCTGCGGTTCTGCTGCCACCTGCCCGCTCTTCCCAGCCGCACGTCCCCTGCCGGGGCGGCCCCAAGCTCGGCCTCTCTTCCCCGCGACGGTCTCCCGGCGGGTCCGGGGACTGTTCCCACCCATGTCCGCGTGGCGCCACCGCCTAGTGGGGCCGCTGGACACTCGGGCCGGGCAGCGTGAAGCCTAGGTCCGGCCCCTAGTCCGCGATGGGGATGGATTCGTGCGGGGTGCGGGAAAATCGCCCACTGTGGGGCTGCCCGGGAGAGGGACGTTGGGGCAAGAGGGGGCCCGGTCCTTGATTCTCCACAGCCTGCGGGAACCATGCACCCCTCAGCGTCGGGGACGGAGCTGCCTCTGCGGACCCCCAGCCCCCACTCCCTGCTGGGGCCTCTGCGGTCTCCAGCTGCGCCCGCAGCTCCGCGGGCCTCCGGGTCTTTGCCTCGGAATTCCCAGCCCTGGGCGGCTCCTTGCAAACCCCACGGATAGCGCGCTCGGGAATCTGTTTTGACTCCGCACCTGGGGAATCACCGCAGGGGCTCAGGCCGCGCCCTTACTCGCCTGGCCGGGCTTTGGCGAAGGGGGCGGAGATCAACGACTTCCTTCAGGCTGCGGGCATTTACGAAGCATCCCCTCGGCGCGCTCTCCAGTGACCCCGCCCGGCGGCGAGCGGCCCCCGGCCTGGGTCCTCCCCGGCGCGCGCCCGGCCCCTCGGCCCTGCGATCCCCGCCGTCCCCCAGCAGAGGCCGCGCCCGAGAGAACGCGGGCCTCCACCGTTCCTTCTTCCCGGAAGAGAAGCCGCCCCTCCCCTCTCCCTGAGACGCCGTGTGGCGCCCCCCACCCACCTCACTGTAGGGGAGGCTCCCGGCTCCGGCCCCCAGGCCCAGGGCAAGCCCCATGAACCACGCGGGACAGGAAACCAGGTCGCGAGCTTCCTTAGCCCAAAATGCCTTCTGTTCTACAATCAAGGGGAGGGCGCCCCAGCTTATCAGAGTTGGCCCCTAAAACCAGCACATTATATGAAAATCACCAATTGCCAAATGACTAAAATCCCTGAAAGGATTTCCCTATTCCACATCCACAAACCATCCCCAGAAAATGCACCACAACCCCTTGCCCTGAGAACCCGAGGAAGGCGGGCGCTGGCAGCCAAGTCAGGTGAATGCGGCTCTGGAGTCCCTTTGGCTGGGGGAAAACGGGGTCTCACCTCAAGGGGGACAGGAATTAGGGCCCAGCAGAGGGACTCGGCGTCCGTGAGTCCTCGGGACATCCTGCATGCTGGAGGAATGCTTCCACATTTGGACGCCCCCACCCAGCGGCCTCCGTGGCACACACCGCAGGGCGGGCGGTGAAGATGTCTCCTGTTTTACTCGTGTCTGAAGGGTTCCCATCTGAGAGGGGAATCCCAGCCACTCTGGAACTGCGTTCACCTGGAATTTAATCTTGTCTCTAACTGTCTCAGAAATTAACTTAAGTGTTTGCCAGACCCTCACCTGCACCATATCTGAATCTGACAAGCCTTTCAGTTGCACACAGCTTGCAGGTGTGAGCTCCCCACTCTGCCCAAGGTCCATCTTACACTGAGTTTTACAGTCTCCCCCCCAGTTCTGCTTTCCCTCGCCCGGGGTTACATGCAGAAAGGGAGAGCTCTTCCGGGGGGTAGAGGCTCGTCCGTCCCAGGCTGGAAACCCCCAGGGGCCCTGGCACCTGGAGATGCTGAGTCTTGCATGGGAAGCAACAGGGCCTGCCAGTGGCTCACTGACATCACACCCCTCAGCCTGGTGTTGGAGACCAAAGAATGACCACTCTGTTGATGCCACAAACAATAGCCATCTTTTTACAGGACACCGCTTGGGAATTGTTGCAATATATATCTTGCTGCCGTTAGTCTTCTAAAACTCATAGGTTATTTATCAATTAAATAATTTGCCCATGTGGACTGATCCCATTTGTCACGCTGTAGCGAGCTTTTGGGATTCTGAGCTGTCTCCCACTTGCACACTTTTATGATTGTGTAACTCTGTTCCTGGGGTGTGGGTGCTTCTTTCTGACTATCTCTGAAGCTCTGGCTAAGCTTTGGGTGAAGGAGAGTTGCAAATGCATGAAAAGACGCACACACACTTAAGCTTCACCAGGCACCAGCCTTGTGCGGCACGCAGCGCCTGGCAACACCAAGCAGCTCGTGGGAACTGGCTGCTGCCACGCACCCCAATGTGGCGGCTGGAGGAGCTGCTGGGATGGACCCACAATTCACATCGTTTCCATTAGGGTCATTCCAGTCACTGATGAAAGGGGAGATGGCCCAATGCAAAACACCACAATTCCTCATCTCCAGCCTGCCCGCTCCTGGGAATGGGTGAGAGCTCACAAAAACCTGGGCATGCAAGAGTCAGTCGCAGAGCACAGGATGGGGGCCTGGGAGTCCAATCTCCACAGATGAGGACCCAGCAGCAGCAGAAAGTCCAACTCCTGTCCTCCTCCCACAATCAAGCAGCAAGGTGGGAGTGTGAGGCCCGGGGCACTTTGCAGAGTGCCTCGTGGCACTCCAGTTGTCAGTGTCTGTGAATGCACAAGCCTGGCCCAAGGACATGCAAGAAATACAGGAACTCACCCAGGTGACATAACAGCAGCGACACCCAAGAGGACTCGTGCTACCTCCCCCAGAGCCTGGAGCATAAAGAACATGCTGGAAAGCCCTAACTGACCTCCTTCTCATTCTGTGTCCAAAGCTATAGCCTTCCCACATCTTCACAGCACTAAGCCACTAAGAGCTGCTCTGCTCGGCCTTTATTGGCCCCAAAGCTCTAAAACCAGAGTCTTTAATATTGCCCAGTGCAACACTTCAATTTAGTAACCTTCTCCAATGCCAGCAAACAACCATAAAACTCAGAGGTCAGCTTAGGGTTGGCAGCAGGTGAGTTATAAGCCAGCGATAGAGGGAGGGAAATAGGTAGGTCTATGCCCTCTGAGACCTTTCTAGACATTACTGCTCTTTTATTCACCTGCAGCCTCAGCAGTACAAGGCGTCGAGGAGGGAGAATGAGAGGCAAACAGCCTGGGCTCAAATCGCCCAGTGGGGAACAGTGGTCTTCGCGAGCCATCACCTCCCCTCCCTCCTTTCGATAACATAAATCTGATTCATGTTAAGTCATTCACAGATTCACTGAATTTATCTCCCCAGATAGAATGCAGAGAAGGGGTGGTGTTGGCTCCAAATAGAGTTGATACAGCTGGACAAGCTGCAAGGAATGGCCCTAATTGATACCCACGGGGTAGATGGGATAGAGCAGAGTCAAAATGCTTTGCAGGGGACCTATCAACCACCACCCTCCCTGGTAATCTGATTATTTGAAATTGCAAGGAGCAGAAAGAGGAGTAGAATTTGCAAAATAGTGTTTTCCAGAAATCAGTTTTGCAGGATATCAATTGTAGTCATGGGGGCAGTGGGGGAAGGGTGTCATAATTTGGGAAATGCAGGGTTTGTTGTGGTGGTTATCATCATTGTTACGTGGAGGCTTCTGGAAGCTGTTAAGATACAAATATGGATTGTGAAGCTCCAAGAAAGGCATTAAGCAGGCAGCACCCCTCCCCTGGCGTCTGTGGCTGCTGCTCTGACCTGTGGCACTGCCGTGGCCCCGCACTGGCCCCTCGCCTGACCTGACCGTGGTCTGCTCTCTTCCACCACCACACTAACCCGAATGATGCTGTCCGATCAGAAATGCAATGAGCTCACCCTTCTGTTCCAAACCCTCCAGAAGCTTCTCAAGCCACTTGGGAACAGAGCTAAAAGCTTTACCTTGGCCTGGAACACCTGCACACGCTGCCCTCCCTCTTCCTTTTTTTTTTTTTTTTTTTTTTTGTTGTTGTTGCTGAGCGGAGGTCTCACTGTATTGCCCAGACTGGTCTCAAACTCCTGGGCTCAAGTGATCTGCCCGCCTCAGTCTCCCATCATGCTGGGATGACAGATGTAAGCCATTGTGCCTGGCCCCTCCCTCTTCCTCTTGCTGTTTCTCAAACCCCCAGGTTGACTTGCCCACCAGGTCCTTTGTCCCATCCCTCAACCTGGATGCTCATCCCCACGTTGTCCAACTGCTCATCCCTCACCTGCATCAGTGCTTCCCCAAGACCTCCCTGCGTAAACTAGCACTGTCCCCCGTGCTCCATCTCCCACCGTGCTTTCTTTTTCTTGTTAACGCCAATACCGCTTAACAGAACACCATCTGTCTCTCTGCATGAGAACATGAATCCCACCAGATCAAAGTCTTGGTCTTGTCCATGTTGTATTTCCAGCACCTACCAGTGCATATATTAGGGATTCAATCAATGTATATTTGACAACAGTGTCCATATCACAGGTTCTTTCAGAAGGCTGGCATTCCATTTCCACTCTTCCTGGAAGTTAGAAAAATCTTAGCTCTTGCCCCTGCCATGCTAACCTCTGTATGGCTTTGGGTAAGTGACTGCACCTCTCTATAAAGTCAGAGGGTTGGGCTCAATCCAAAGTCACCAACTGAATGTCCTCAGGGGCCAGCAAGGAATGACACTGTGTGATGTAGACAAGGGGTCAGACAAGAGGGAGTGGTAGGGACTGGGGTAAACTGGAGAGTCTACATGGACACCTAAAAATGTTTAAAACTGTTAAAGGGCAGCCTACAAGAAATACTTCTGCAGGCCACAAATCAGCAATGCTCGGGCCACACGGTCTCTAAAACCCACTTTACATAAAACTTCTCACTTCCAAGATTTATATGAACTGAGACAATTCATTCCCCCAAAGAAATCTGATTTTATTTGGTTGTCTGGGATATGATTTATTGTAGGGTACAGGTTTCATGGATCCCCAAAATAGCTGGAGAAATAGGCACAGGGGTCCTTCTAGGGACCTCAGCCGAAGGATTCTGTGCTCTTCAGCCTAGTGACTCCCATTAATGAAACGAGCTACCATGCAAGCACAAGCTTCTCCTCTGTTCCTCCACTCTTGGCTCAGTCTCTAAGTGCCCGCTTTCAAACTCCTATGGGAGGATCCTCTGGGCCTGTCTCAGAGCCAGCTCTGGAGCAGCAACGACCCAAGAAGGGCCAGGACATGAAGTCCAATCCTAGCCATATGAGCACACTTATTAATTAGACAGCATGATAGAGTTTGGCTGTGTCCCCACCCAAATCTCATCTTGAATTGTAGCTCCTTAATTCCCATGTATTATGGGAGGGACCTGGTGGGAGATAATTGAATCAAGGGGGTGGTTCCTCCATACTGTTCTCGTGGTAGTGAATAAGTCTTATGAGATCTGATAGTTTTATAAGGGGAAAACCCTTTCACTTGGTTCTTATTCTCTTGCCTGCCACCATGTAAGATGTGCCTTTCACCTTCAGGCATGATTGTGAGGCCTCCCCAGCCACGTGGAACTGTGAGTCCATTAAACCTTTTTTTTAATAATTACCCAGTCTCGAGTATGCCTATATCAGCAGTGCAAAAACAGACTACTACATAGTGGGTGGGGGTGAGCAACAGAACTTCCCAATACGAGATCAAAATGGATAGTTTCAAGTTTCCCAGTTGTATTTTCTCTGGACATTTCTGGTTTTCCATCTTTCTAGTGGCACCCTCAGGCTGTAGTTGCTGCTTTCTTCGCCTCCTAAGCTCAAGGATGGGGTCTGTCCTGGTGCTGCTCTGGTGGGCGTGGCTTCCCACCAGCACCCAAAGGGCTGCCTGCCTCTGTCTGTCTGGC